CTCTCAGTTAGACGACGCTAAAGTTAAGCCAATAATAAGTGGTCTAGTGCTCAGTTGATTTTCAGCCCCACTGTGCGAAACAGGTAGTGGCTTCTGTTAGTTTTCCTGAACAAGACCTCTCTGAAGGTGTCTCCCACCTTCTCACATTTAAAGGATTTAGGTTAAGAAGCCTTTCATTTGGGAGGAGTCCCCTCCCTATCCCTTAATTCTCTCTCTTTTTTTCCTTTTGTGGCTTTTCTACTCCTGTCATTGCAGAAACAGCACATTTATTTTCACAAACCAAGCCATATGGATGTAGGCAACTGAAAAGTAAATAGCCTCCTGCACCTCCCTCCTGGGTGACAGCTGTTAAAGGGGGCTGTGAATCCTTCTCACATGGCTCTGCACTGCAAGCTGCGGCTAACATGCCTTGGCCCGGCTTCTCTTAACACACCCAGCCTACCTGTTGGTTGGACCATGTAGTGTTACCACTTTTATAGCCCCGTTGCTCTTCAATGCAGCCCAACACTGTGTCCAATTTGACTCGCATTCACTGCCACCCTTTCTCAGTTTTGTTCCGTTGCTTCACTTTGGCTGGGCATCCTCTGTTCCTGCCTCCTCAACTCTGCCTAGACCTTTGACTCCTTTCATGCATTAAGCTCCCTTTATGGATACTGCCTCTTGACATACCTGACTGTCCAATTCATACAGTGCTCTGCTTCATTACTTTTAGGCTATCTGTTTGGTTTTTATTCTCCAATTGCTTTATGTTTTATTTATCCTCTTACCTAGAATTTAATGCCTTATGGAGAAGTGCTATCTTTCATATATCTATATTTACCCTAGTATTAATCTAAAGACAAAGACAAAATGTAAAGCTCATTCACTAAACTCTTCATTATATAAAATCTCTTTCTATAAGGTCATTCACCACTACTGATACTTGTTAATGCTTTGCACTTGGTATTTTCAGTAATATTGCTTTTTCCTGGTAAGGATTTTTGATCATAAAAGCACTTACTATAATAGAAATCTAGCATGCAGATGACTTTAGAGCAAATGCTTACTTCCCAAATCAAACTGTCATCCAAGAAAACTTGTGTTCCAAAGCTTAGAAAGCTTCCCCAACCTATCGTTGATATTCATGGTACTTTACCCAGCATAGCATGCATTCAGTGATGCATTGTAGAGGTTCAGTGATGTCTTCCTGAGGGTTTTTTTATTTTTCTTCTTCTTCTTTTTTTTTTTTTGTAAAAATCCAATGGGATGTCAACTACTGTTCTTAGCTCCACCTTGTAAGCCTGGTCCTACAGCAAATTATGAGCCATGCATGCATGGGTGTTGTGTGCCTTTCTTAGCCAGGCATACATGGGTGATATGTGTTTTTTTTTAGCCATGCATGCATGGGTAGTATTGCCTTCGATCCCAGCTAGTATCTAGGAACTGAGATTGGAAGGTCATTTGACCAATAAATTATAGAGCAATCTGATCACTCTTTGCAAAAGAAAGAAACGAATTAATTTAAAAGTAAAGCTAACACAAATGTTTCTTAGATTGCTATATTTTAATCAATATTTATAAACAGTTTAATAGATTTGAGGCATTATTTTAGGTAATATTTGTGAGGTTTTTGTGAGTCTTTACTAAGTAATTTAGGCCTTCACATTATTTTAAAATAGATTCTCCATATTTAAGAACATTCTCTCCATCTAGTGGACAAAGTGTAATATTACATCTATAAACAAATGGCTAACATCCTAGCTGTATCTGAGACCAAGCATTTTTAACATTTGATAATAAATGTTTTGATTTTCATAGATAGTATTATTACAAAAATATTTTAATATATCTGGTAATATTTTTCAAAAGAACTACATATATACTATATGCTAAGATTTTCTTAGTCGAATTGAAAAACTAATTTATTTTAAAAATATAAATTAATATTCTTTGGTGATTCAGCTAGCATTGATCCAATTAAACTGAGAAAACATAAATTCAAAATCACAGTCTCCTATCTCTTTTCTTGTTCATACAGAATATGTAGCGAGAGCACCTTCCTTCTGTTCATTTAACCCTGACATCATCCTGCTAAATCACAAGGGGCAGCAAGCACAGATGCTCTGTGGAGCATTTCTACCCATGAGTCCCCTGTGACTCCTTAAAGCAGGATCTACTCTCGTTCCTTCCATCATCCTCAGGTCCTCTGTGACTGTCTCCTTAACGGGAGGTCTGCTCCCATCCCTTCATCATCCTCTGGTCCCGTGTGACTGTCTCCTTAAAGGGAGGTCTGCTCCCATCCCTTCATCATCCTTGGGTCCCCCGTGACTGCCTTCTTAAAGCAAAATCTACTCCCATCCCTCCCTATTTATTTAATATTGTCTTCCAAATGTGTATCGAGTAGCACTAAAAGCCCCCTTTAGATACTACTCGTCTCTGGAGACATCACGGGTAACCCCGTCTGAGTTAAAACTATTGCTTTTATGTTTTTAAACACAGTATACTCGTAATAAGTGTTTAATAAATGCTTATTTAATGAATAACATCCCAGAAGAACTTCCCTAAATTCCCCTGATATCCCTCTTTAATGCTAAAAAGAAAACAAAAAAACAAAAAAACAAAAAAACAAAAAAACACCGGCCTTCCCTGAATTTCCTGTGGAATGTCGAAGTGCCTGCAAAGCCATGGCCCTACCCAGGGGAGTTAGAGACCTCTCGTTTGGTCCACAGCTACTGACACACTCAGTATTCGTGTCTCATGGAACCAAGCTCTCTTTCAGGGAGGACTTCAGGAGCATTGGATTAGCTCAATGACTTTGATCAATCAGCTTTTCTAGAACCTGTCCTCTTTGTCTATAGAGTGAATGTTTAATTAAATAATCTTCCAGTGTCTTGATGGAACCATCTGAATACATTTATAAGATGACACGATTCTAAGGGAATCTTAAGGGTTAGGGAGATGGCTCAGTTGATAAATCATTGCCACACAAGCATGAGAATGTGAGCTCATAGCTCCTGCATGCATGTTAAAAGACTGTTGTGGACAGCATGTGTCTATGATCCCATCTTGGTCAGGCAGCCCCCATCAATCAGTAAACTCCAAGTTATGTGAGAAAAACTCTCTCAAAAGTAAGACTAATAGCAATTTATGGAAACAGCATCAACCTTTGGCCTGCACACATGCATACATATACAAACATGTACATATACCAAACTTAACACCACATACACACAGAGAAAATGTTAAGTTGGAAAGGAGGTTTTTTGAACGACTAAACCACATTATTACTTTCTCCCTTTTCTTTTGTCCTTGAAGGCTGACTCAGGTGTTGCCTGGTCATAGGTCCACATGTGATCAATGATTTACCCACCTCCCTAGTTGGCTGACTTGGGATACTTGAGACATAACACTGGATATGAAGAATCCTAAAAAAAACAAATAAAAAATGTTTAAACTAGTGGGGCAAGAGTTGCGCATGCGCGCATGCACATGTGTGTGCGTGTGTGTGTGTTTGCATATGTGTGTGTGCATGTGTGTGTCGTGTGCACATGGACGAGTTGAAAATTTACCCAAGGGCATTCATTGTGCATGTAGGCCAGCACTGTACCATTGAGATGCATGTTCAGTCGTGGATAAAGACTCTAATCTGGGAATGTTGGTAGCAATTTAATTTGAATTTGTTTGTGCATGCAGTGATCTCTTTTAACCTCGTGTGTCCCATGTTGTCACTCTCTTCTGTTCAAGGACACATGAGAAGAGAGTTGAATTTGATACTTATTGATATTTCACTGGAAAAGTTCATTTGGGAAAGTTTACCTGGGTTATAAAGACTATCGTATTGACAGCTGTTATATGTTGCTACTTTTTATTCTCTGGCTTTAAGACCTGTATTGTAAGTTGAGATTGCTTGTTCATTTTCTGGCCACTCAGACATGAATAATCACACAGAAACTATATTAATTACAACACTGTTTGGCCAATGACTCAGGCATATTTCTAGATAGCACTTACATCTTGATTTAACTCATTTCTATTAGTCTGTGTATCACCACAAGGCTGAGCCTTACCAGTAAGGTTCTGGCAGGTGGCTGGCAGCTTTCTCCTTCAGCAGCTACATGGTATCTCTCTGATTCCCCCCCCCTACATATATATATATATATATATATATATATATATATATATATATATGGATTTCCTGCCTGCCTTTACTCTACTAAGCCATTGGATGAAAAAGTTTCTTTAATAACCAATGAGATTAAAACATATTCATAGCATACAGAGGGGAATCCCACATCACTGTATTGAACTCAATGCGTTTCATTCTTTCTATTCATTTACTCTATTCAGTAAAGGGGTTTTGTTGTTCTTTGTTGTGGTGATGGGGGTTGAACACAGAGCCTAATATGTATCAGCCACGTTTGCATTTTAAGACGATAAAGACACTAGATAAAGGCAGGAAAATGGATTCAAGAGACAACTGTAAGGGCTACTACACAGTCACAGTGAGGGATGCAGAAAGTAATGACTTAATAAGTGCAGTGTGAGAAGGAAAAGAAGCTCAGGTTCAGGTGCATTGTGACATTAGACAGTGGCAGTTGTTCAACCGAACTCAAATATTTACTGAATTATATGAATTTGTTCTTTTCTAAACAAGAATTCTGTACTCAGAGCTACTTTTACAGAATGACTCCTTTTTTAAAAAAAAATGAAGTTAGGTTTAAAAAGACTTAAGCCTTGTAAATTGTCAAAATCCAAGGAAAATAAGAATATTAAGCAAATGTGATGTTTACAGTTGTGGGTTTGTTTGTTTGTTTGTTTGCAGTGTTTAGGGCTCAAACTCAGGGTAATAGACTATGCAAGCATGCTACCACTAAGCTACATCACTAGTTCAATGTAATTTTTACTATCAAGATTTAGATGTAAAAATCTTCCTATCACTCCCCAAATCAAGCTACTTCCCCAACGGAGATACGAGAGAGCCAGTGCTCACACCAATGTGATTCTTTTTCCTCTATTCACAGTTTCGATGTGGACAATGGCACATCAGCGGGACGGAGTCCCTTGGATCCCATGACCAGCCCAGGATCTGGGCTAATTCTCCAAGCAAACTTTGTCCACAGTCAACGCCGGGAATCCTTCTTGTATCGATCCGACAGCGATTATGACCTCTCTCCAAAGTCTATGTCCAGGAACTCCTCGATTGCCAGTGATATGTGAGTATAAGAGTGGGCAGGAAAGGGAGAAGAACCTAGGACAACCTGAGCAAAGACATCTCTGAGTGGATGATGTCCTAAATGGACTCATTCAACCGTGTCATCCTCCTCTGATGCAGAAAGCGCATCAATTTATTCAAGCTGAAAACGAACAGTAGATTTAACTTGAGTACACTGTCACTCTTGATTAAGAGGAAAAACATTTTCTCAGAAAATACATTGCTTGGGGAAAGTAGAATTAAACATTTAATAGATAATTGGCCTTAAAACATCAATTTGTATTTATGTAAGACTTGTGTTTTAGATACTCAACCACATGTGTATTTTCTAATATTTAAAAAAGCCTTAAATTTGGGCTGAATACCCCTATGATGTCAGGGTGCACAGTGTCTTAACTATATCTTAACTGACATGTGTACAGACGTGAAACTGGCAAGATCTTTCAGGGGTTTTGTACAAATTCAACCAGGTTTTGAATATAAATCACTAGAGGTAATATTATCCATGAGTTCACTTAAGGGCTGGTATCAAACCATATGTAATAAAATATGAGTAGCACCCTTGAGGTTTTACAAAGCACCACACAAAGGCAAAGCATGGGGCCATGGCACGCTCTCTGCTCAAAATAAATGGTAAGAAAGTAATGGGTTCAGGGAACAGTTTTGCAAAACGTGAAGTATGGGGGCTCTGATACATTGAAGGTCTGACATTCAGTTGGGTGCAAAAAGTAAACATAGTAAGACAGGAAGGAGACTCAAGTTCATGGGAGCTGAGAGTCACCAACGTTCTTCGCTAACATTTGGCCTTGTCCATGCTTCATTTTTATTATATTTTGGTTCTTATTATTCTATTTGGGAATAATAAGACCATGATGTGATCATAGGGAAGGAGTTCATATCCAATTTTACCAAAACACAATCAGTCACATGCTGAAGATCCAAGGTAGTAAGAGTGCAGCCAAGAGATGGGTCCTGATGTAAGAGGCACAAGGAAGGCCTAAGGAAATATGGGATACGTGTGTGTGTGTGTGTGTGTGTGTGTGTGTGTGTGTGTGTGTGTGCCTGTTTGTGTGGGGGCTGGTGTAGCTGGCAGAGATAAAAAAACAAAAGGAGCGCCACAATTGTGACCCTAACTGAGTAAATAAATGGCAGTATTTACATGAAGAATAAGGGACAGAGAGTGGACAATATAATGCCAGACCCTAAGTAGTAGATTTCAGCTTTTATAGAATAGTATAGAAAAAAAAACTTGACAGTTGTTGGCAAGGGAAGAACAAAGATGAGGAACAACAGTCCACTGGACTAGAAAAAATAAAAAAAATCAATTACCTTGTATAATTAATTGGTGTTTAGATGTCACTTGAGTGAAGCACCTTGGTCAGGCAATGGAGTCATAAGCCCAATAGGATGTAGAGTGACGCAAAAGTGTTTCTCTGAGCCAGTGAATGCATAGTTTTAGAAAACAGATGGGAAAAGGGAGCGAGAGAATTCAAGTTAACTGAAGAAGAAATAAACTCAAGAGAAAAAAATTAAAATGAATAGCACTTGAGCTGAGTGAAGGCTGAGAAGTGAGAGGCTAAAAATCAGCAGGATTACAGATAAATGAAGAGTTATTGGAGACAAATATGATCTTGAGCTCAAGAAAGAGTCTCTGGAAAAGTAGGAGAGGCTGAGATTGTAAGAAGACACAAGTAAAAGAAGAAATACAAATATAGAGATGAAGGGGCACAAGGTTTAAAAAATTCATCGCTCAGGATGGCTACTTGTCCACTAACAAGAGGTTTAACCTTTGACACCAACGGGAGTGGAAGGGGCAACTTGAGTACAAGGTGAAAGGATAAAGCCACTGCATACCCAGGCCTGGTGGTACATACCTATGATTTCAGCTACTCAGAGGCTGAGGCAGGATGGTGGTAAATTCAGACTGTCTCAGCTATTAAAGGCGTGCAATTGAAGGAGTGCAGGACCATCCTGGCAGCACAGTGAGACGGTGCCTCTAAGTAAAAGGACAAATAGGGCTCGATGCGTATCACACGGTGGTAGAGTATCTACCTGGCACAATATATGCAAGACTCTAGATTTAAGTGCAGTGACGGGAAAGGCCACTAAGCAGATTAAGGAAGAGAATAACGCACTAGAGGGATTAATAGAGGACAACTCAATTCAAGAATCCCCATAGATAATCAATAAAAGCTGCCTAGCCCAACTTCCTTGAAAGTGAAGCAACAAAAGAGACAGATGTGACTGTCGATCCCAAGGATCATAGACCACCAACGAGGAGGGGTGGAAAGAATGCAAGAGCCAAAGGGTAGAGAGATGTGTACAAGAAGAGGTCTTCTAGCCATGACATGATGAAGCTGTTGCATCCATGAGCTCACGGCACACAGCAACTGCGGTTATCTGCATAAGACCTACACGAGATTGGGCCTGCCAGAATTTCCTCATGAACGAGGAAGGTGCCCTTGAGGCTCCAACCCTTCCTGTGGGACCATAGGCAATTAATTAACAGGCAAGAAACTCTAATTCAACTCAGTGGACCACATACAAAAAAAGAAATGGAGGCATGAGGAAGACTTGTTGAGAAGAAAGTTAAAGAGAAAAGGAACAACTAAAATTCCCTTAATTGAATGAAAGAAAATTTTCAAGCAATTAAAGATATTAAAAGGAAAGGTCAGAGAAGAACATGGAGTGAATAACTGGACTCTATTTTAATGGTTAAATGTTCTGCTCTCTTAAATTCTAGTAAAACAATCTGGGGATGCTAATGCATAGGCTGTGTGTGTTTGTGTGATATCTCTTATTCAAGTTAGAAAAGACTAAATATGCATCTCACATATTCTACATTCTAAAAGAGCCTTTATTTCCAAAGCCCTATACAAGAATGGCCTCATTTTACCCTGCAACAATTCAAGAGTTCCTTTATCTGCTCAGAGAACTCATATACAAATGACAAATTGAATCAGACCCTGTTGCAGCTCTGTATATTGTTGAAAATTAATGTCTTGACGTGCTCAGCTTTCTGAGTCCTTCTGTGCATTTTCCTAGGAGAAATGAGGCATTCCTTTCATGCTTGCTGAGAAACAAGATAAACAAAATAATTATGACTTCATATTTCATTTACTATATCGTTTATCTTCCACACATAGATGAGTAGGCTTTGCCTTTATTTGATAGCTTACATGTCCATGTGTGAACTCAGATCCCTTTATCTAGTTTACATTGATGCAGTGAAGATTGTTCAATGTTCATAGCTCCACTCCACAGTTCAACTGTGCTTTATAAAGAATGATGTCATTAAAATCTAGTTTGCAGACTTGATGATTCTTTGTATATTGTTCTTATCTAGCTTTTCACCAGATAAAATTCCTAGTGTCAATGAGCGTTTGCTATTCTTTGTTTGACTGAGATGTTTTAGAAAAGCTAAATTCTATGTATGTTTGTGTATAATTGTTTAATTGGGAAATGAGAAGAAAGAAAATAATAATTTCCTGATAAGATGACATCTCTTATAGTCTGCAAATAAATATTAATAAGTAGCTGACACACGCAAAGGAAAAAACAACAGTGACAGTCATAACACAAATTGTCTGCAGATAATACACTTCACTTTTTTGAGTATTTTGGTACCCGCCATTTCATTTGATCCTTCAGTTCTTTTAATAGGGTTATTAATATGCTATTTGTGGATAGGAGATCCAAAGTCCAGGAAAGTTCATCTTTTCAAAATACAATAAAAGTTTTGATCATTTGTAAAGAGCATTGTTTTGTTGATACCATTGTGGACAGTATTTGTGAGTGGATAGACAAAACTCATTTGACCAACAAAATTGCTATGACACGCTGTAGAAGTTAGCTCTATTCAGGAAATATCCAGGCTAACTAAAAGATAAACAATTATATTTTTATTTATTATAAAAGGAAAAACTCACGAAACAGGAACGAGAAGTCCAAGCTCAGATGTGCCATGAGGGAACCACAGAGAGAGAGAGCACCTGGGCAGTGTGGCTGTTTTTCTCCAGGTCCCAGAAATCCACACCTTAACTTGGTCCCACCTTTTGAAGATAATTTGCTAACAAAGCTTCCCCATCACCTCTCCCTTTTGTCTAAACAAGAGTGATCCAAACCCAATACAAAACTATATACAATAGAAACATATATCAAGTATAAAATTCCAACAAATATAAACAATATCAAGCAAGGAACACATGACAATGTTTTAATAAACATTCTATTCCAAAGAGTCTAAGTCTTGCATTGGAAATAAGCTTGGCCAGATTATAAGAAGAAGGTAACTACAACTTCCTAATCTTCAACCCCATCGAAGGCCTGAGAAAGGAGATAAAATTACTTGAGTAGAGCAGTATATGATAGAGACAACTGGCTACCTGAGCAGTCACCTAAAGTTTCATTTGCAATGCTGAAGCAACCAACTTTGGCTAAGGCCTAGCATAACTGACAGACCATTTTCAGAGGCAGGGAACTTTTCAGAACCGTCTTACCCTGTCTTGGCATGGTTTAGCAGTCCTTTTCCTTGTGTCCTGCTTATCCAGTCTGGATACCGTGTACTTTATCAGTGTTTGAGGCATGGACAGTCCCTTGCCCCAAAGCCAATCATATCAAGAAGAAAACAAACTCCAAGTGGAGTGTCTTCAGAGCTCAACATTCTCTCAGGAATAGATTAGTGCTGTCAGGAGCAATCATGTCTCATGTCAACAGAACCGTAAGTTATTTAAATGCCATGTACTACAGTTCCTTAAGGTTGAAGATTACCTATCTAGGCAAAATATAATCTCTTTATATCTAAAGAACCTAATTAATCTGACTATATGTATAACAAATCGAACAACTATTGACCTATAATATTTAATACCTGTATAACTTAAGGACCAAGACTTCATGTCAGAATATTAAATAACCTGTAAACAAATGTGCAGCAAATGATAACAATGACATCAAAATGTAAACAATGTATAAGTATCTTGATCAGAGGTAAGAATAATA